TTTCAAAAGAACACAGTGTATTTTTAATCCTTTCCATAGTTTTCAGTTTAGTGTCCACAAGACTGTATATCAAATATGATACCAAGTTTTTTTCTATCTTTCTACAAGACTATTTAAGTTTCATCTGGATTTGGTATATGTCTCACAAAACACTAAATGGGGAAAATGTGCTTCAGGCATTAAGATGATGTATGTCCTTTTCTCCATTTGCATTGCATCACATTTCAGTTTATTTTGAGGCTGGGAGAGCAGGTATGAAATGTGCTGTGTGTCTGACCGGGGCATTTCACTATGCCTGGCTTCAGGGACTGTATAAGGACTATATAAGGTTTGACTGCTCACAGATTTGCATAATTATTTACTTAGTTGAATATTGGATTGTTGTGTTGTATTTCCTGTTACTCAAAAATGTTTGGGGAAAAGACTTTTTCTGTGTATAATTTTATTTTCATACTGATATCTATTTTGTTTAAGACCATGTTTCATCATGAAATCACTTAATTCAAAATAAATCTTCTTACAAAAGCGCCTTTGGAAGCGTACTCTTATTGTGCCCCTGAATGTATCATTAGCATCCTTTCTTAAATGCGTAGCCCTTTTCTGTAGATCGTTCTACATTGTATGCAGCAGGTTAAAACACTTGGAGAATCCCCCTGATGATGCCACCCCTCACATCACCTTTTCTAAACGACGTCTGGTGCCTGCAGGGTTGGGCATGGTGCACATGGTCATTTTAGAAGCAGAGGAAATACGGATTCTGCAACAGTACGCATCCTAATTTGAACCAGAACCACATTGGGAACGAAGGCCATCATAAACTAAACGAGCAAAGCACGGGACGCTACGATGGATGTGCTGGAGGAGCCAGCCGAGCTTCTTGTCTTTCACTGTGCTTGTTCACAGCATCAGCTGCGCTTGTTAAATCCCCATAACCAGAGCTGACTTGACACAGCAAAAGTTGGCTTTTAAAAACATGTGTATTAAATAGAACACCATTACCTGCGTGAGGGGTGGGCACATCCCATGCCGAGGTCATTTCCAGCACTACTGCAGATACAGCAGGAGATGGCACATTGCTTAGGAGGAGCTATTTATAAATGTCTATGTTATTTGTACCATTTACAGTATTTGGGGTTTTAGTTTGGCATTGGTGATGTTAGGCTTCTTCAGCTACCCATGCTCTCATAGATAGGTTTGGGCCATGGGGTTATCTCTGTGGCTTTGGCTTTTTTTTCTTTTCTTGCTTATTTTATTCCTGCAGCAGGAATTTATTCCGCATCG